TCTAAATTCTTAATTTAAATAATGTCATTTCTTTGAGATTTTTCACTATGTCAATAATTGTAAGTTGATAAAGAAAAGATATAACACACAATTTACATTATGGTTCAACTTCTTTTTCTCCAGATTTTTTCACTCTACTAACCCTAGTTCCTCTCTCTCCTTCTCTCTCTCATAATTGTAGCCTCTTTTCTTCTTCTTTTGTCCCTAACCACTATGTCACTCTCCCTTGATAGCTTGGGAAGATGAATAAAAGTGGGAGTTTCACCCTATTTGATGTTTCTCTCTTCTTTTGGAGATTTTCTCGACCCCTTTTTAGGGAATTTTTGCTTATGCTCTCTCAATGATTTTCTTTGTGTTTTGCCCCAGGTTGAAGAGGACAATAGCATGGCAGTAACTCTCATTTGGGGTAATTTGACCATGACTTGGGTGGCCTTTGAAGGAGACTCAAACTCTTCTCCACCTCTCCTCCACACTAATACCTCTCCTCTTCAGTTAGACATTCAATGGTTAGGGATAGTTATTTGCTGAATTACCTACTCTACCCTAAAGTTTGGCATAATAATTAGGAATGTCTTGTAACTCAAGATACTTATGGTTATGTTCTTTCTACTTTTGTTACTCTTTATACCTCCCTACAAGTATTGCATGACAATTTCTAGATCGCTCATATTTGTTATAGGCATAGTTTTCAATGACATCTAGTGTTGTAGGTTAACTTCTATTAGTGTTAGGTGCTTTGAATTAGGAATTCATATGTAATCTTTACCTTATGTTTAATATAATCTCTATTTCTTATATTTAAAAAAGAAAAAAAAACTTGTTTTTCTCTCAACCAACCTATATATGCATGTGTCCACAGAAAAAATAGAAATTAATTCACTAACCACGAAAAGAGCAATATGGAGGTAATCTATTTTCATGAAGTTATCAATTCTAACTTAAATAGAAGCTCTCACACTACTAGAAAACCCAAAATCACCAACCCCAAATCACCGACGTAAAACTTGTTAACAGTAAATGAGCACTTTACCAACAAGAAACATATCTGTAAATGTAGTAATAGTAAAAATTACAATAATTTATATTATTTAAGTTTTAGATAAAATCTTTATCGGTGATTTAATGATATACACATGTGCTCCTTGTCGGTAAATTCTGAAAAACTCAGTCTGATGGCGCGAGGACAGATAACTCATATACCGACGTCATCCTTCTTGATACCTACACAAACTCCAACCCACCCTATGAATCGGCTACTCACACCAGGGTGTTTGCAACTTTTTTTTATGTTTACCGACGTGATCCTTGTCGGTAGGTTAACAATCTCCAACCCCACCCAATGAATTGGCTGCTCGTGTCAGGGTTGCAATTTTTTCATTCCTTCCAACAATATTCTCATTGGTAATTTGCATTACACACCAACGTTAAGTTTGTCAATGATGATCCTGGTCAACCAGATTCTTGAAGCAATGCAGAGTTGATTAGCTTTACGGGTTTCCAACGGAAACCCGTCGGTAAGCTTCCCCCTTACCTATCGAGACCCCCCCCTTCCCCTTTCATTTTCGTTTGCTGAGACCCCCCCTTCCCCTTTCATTTTCGTTTGCCGAGACCCCCCCTTCCCCAACCCGTCGGTAACCTGTTGAAACTGGTCGGTGAATTTCGACGAGAATGCAAATTTTTTGTTTTTTTGGATTCCTGCTTTTAGGTTAGTTCCCTATGTGGGTTTTGTCTGTAAAATTATTTCCGACATACCACACATAGGTCAACGATCGGTGAATTTCGACGAGAATGCAAATTTTTTGTTTTTTGGATTCTCGCTTTTAGGTTAGTTACCTATGTGGGTTTTGTCGGTAAAATTATTTCCGACATACCACACATAGGTAAAATAGTCTATATATATCCAGAACACTCTAACCCGATCATTTCTTCTTTCCTTCCTTCCTTCCTTCTTCTTCTTCTTCTTCTTTTTTCTTCTTCTTCTTTTTTCTTCACCTTCCTTATCTATCCCACCTCTTACTCTTCCATTCAAATACTGTTAGATTAATTGTATGATGTTTATAATTGCATTATATTCATATAATTTTAGGGTTATATCTTCTTAATCTCCTTTCTTTTTCTCTTCCATTGTTTTTTTATATTTAATTAAACATTAATTTGTGTTATTAATGAATTTATTTGTAATTCTAATTTTTTTTCATTTTGTTTTCCAAGAAACATTGTTGTGAGATAAGCATTGGGTAAGTAAATTTCATTTATATAAATTAACATTCAATTTCATTTATATTTTGATTATTATTAGTTGATTGAAATTATATATATATATAAATACTAACCAAATTTATGTTTCTTCATTTTTTTAGGAAATTATATTGTATAATTATTCACTTGATTGAGGTAATCTTTAATTTTTTGGATTATGTAGTTATATTTTATGTTTTTTATATTGTTTTTATTTTTTAAATTATGTTTTAATCATTAATTTCAATAAATAAACATAATAATTTTCTATTTATATTGTAAAATTTTAATATTATATTTATTTCTTATGATATTAAA